ACAGGTTTTATTACCTCATTTCATTAAAGAGAGGATATTTTAACATTAAAAAAAAAAAAAAGGAAAGATAGAACCTCAGGAAAAAGGTCATTTACAAGTCATTAGTTCAGTCTTGTGAAAATTCCACTACGGTGTCCTTATTTTTTTGTCTGGCCCTAGTAGAAATGTGATCACAGAGTGTCATTTGGGAAACATGGGCCTGAAGGAGGCTTCACTAGGTGTTGTCAGGTGGGTTAAGGAACAAGGCTGAACCTCTGGGCTAGACAGGAGGGGGAGTGAATCCAAGTAGACCATGAGGAAGAACAGGAAATAAAAGGGATAGTTGGGAATGGGAAACCTTAAAACCCAGGCAGAAATTTAGATTTCGGAGTTTCAGAGATCACAGCTATTAGATCGTTTTTTAAGCCTAAGAACATGAAAATTGCTCCACTGGGTGTGATGGTACTGGCCTGGAGTGCCAGCTCCTCAGAAGGCTGAGGTGGGAGGATCCCTTAAGTCCATCAATTTAGACCAGCCTGGGTAACAGGGAGACCCTGTCTCCAAAGAAAAAGAGAGGGAAAAACAAAGAATGATCCAGCAGCTTGGAGACTTGTGAAGCTTCAGGCAGGAGGGCCCTGTTTTGAGTAGATGAAGCTAAAGATAGGAGAGTGGATATCAAGATAAGAAAGGACAAATTCAAGAGACAGAAGGGAAAAAAAAAAATAGGACACATAAAGAGAGGGGAGAGTAAAAAAAAAAAAATACAGCAGAAGTTTCTATCTCAAGATAGAATAAAGTACTAAATTTCTGTCATTGTGGCTCATTCTGGGAGTGTGTGACGCCACAGGTGGCATTCTTATGACCCCATCTTTTGTGAGCAAGACATTTTCCTTCCACGATTTCAGATGTTTAGTGAACATTGTGTAATTTGTTCTTGTCGTATCCCCAGTGTTAGGAGAGCTATGGTGGTGGTTAGGAAATCATGGGCTGCAAGAGACGGGATGTGGCCAAGGTCAAGGGGCACTTCAGAGATTGGGCTGAAGCAACTGTGCAGTGATCTCCGCTGGAAAATAAGCTTCATTTTCTCTAAGAATAAATATCTCTTTTATTCTTTGTTGTATCCCCAGAACCTCATGCATAACTGGTACCTAAACTTATTTGTTTAGAAAGGAGTGGCTAGATCTAGATAGAGTGGAATTTTATACTGTCTAATGAATTATCTTCTATTATTATAACCTCCTAGAGTAGACAAAGATAATTATATCTTAAGACCACAAAATTATTTTAGTAGGCGGGATCATATGCCTTTAAACAAGATTCAGAATGACCCTAAATGACCTTTACACAAAATTGAGGCAAAATTTTCTTTGTGCTAATATTACTAAGACCTTCTCCATTTTATGATGTAACCAAATTCCACTGGAATGAGCATTAAATTACAACATCACTAGCCTTGTAAATACAAACACAGAATAATGTTTTTGAAATGTGGGACCGGAGTCATTGCATTCAGAAGCAGTGTGGTACCCGCTCTTACAAAAACGAGGACCCAGATACTGGTGGATATAGAAATGCAAAATTCCTTGACAAAATACTAGCAAAATGAATACAGCAGAGTATTAAAAGGATTATGAATTACTATCAAGTAGAATTTCTCTCAGAATTGTAAGGTTGGTTCAACATATGAAAATCAATTAATGTAATAACATTATCAATAGTTAAAGGCAAACACTGAATGAAAGTCTTGGTAGATGCAGAAAAATCACTTGACAAAATGTCACACCATTATATGGTTAGAACATTTAATACTGACACTAGGAATAGAAGAAAAAATTTTCAGCCTAATAAAGGGCATCTATTGAAAACCAATAGCTCACACATGCTCCACTGATTGAAAATTTGAAGTTTAAGATCAAGAACAGACAAGGATTTCTACCAGTTGTAATCAGTATTGTACTGAAGGCACTGTGGAATTAGGTAAGAGAAGAAAGGCATTCATATTGGAAAGAAATAAATATATTTTCAGATGACATGATTTCACATGTAGAAAATGCAAAGGAATCCACAAAGAAGTGTTAGAGCTAATTAATGAGTTCAGCAAGGTTGTGAGGTACAAGTTAAATATACAAAAATCAATTGTTTTTCTGCACATAGTCAATGAACAGTCAGAAAATGAAATTAAGAAAACAATTCATCATGCCGCAGCATAAAAAATAAATAAAATAAGAATAAATTTAACAGAGGTGCAAAATGGATACTCTGAAAACTACAAAACAAAGCTGAAAGTATTGAAAAAAAAGATCTTAAATAAATGGAAGAAATTACATGTGGATACAGAGATTTCATATTATTAAGATAATAAGATTTCATATTATTAAGATAAGTGCTTTCAAAATTCACCTACAGATTTAGTCCAGTCCTTATTGAGTCCCAGATGGCATTGGCTGATTCTAAAATTCATGTGGAAACTCAACAGATTCAGAATAGCAAAATCAGTCTTGAAAAAGAAGAGCAATGATAGAAGATCCATGCTACTAAAAAGTTATAGTAATTAAGAGAGTGTGGTCCCAGCATGAGAAGAGACTTATGGATCGGTGAAATAGAACTCAGAGACCACAACAAGGATGCCAAGACCAGTCAGTGGGAAAGAACAGTCTTTTCAACAAATGGTGTTGGTACAACTGGAGATTCCCTGGTTAGAGAATGAAGCTGGACCAGTTCACACCCTTAAAAAAAACAAAACCAAACCTCAAAATGGATCCTAGACCTAAAGGAGTAGTTAAGAGCTAACAGATGAGTCCTATCCGTCAGCTAATGAGCATCTGGGTTATTTCTGCTTCTTAGCTATTATAAATAATCCCACACAAGTTATTATTTAGACATGATTGATTTCTCTTCATTATAAACATGAGTGAAGTTCCCCGGGGACAGTAAGGTTAACGGCATGTTTAATGTTTCGAGGGCTGCCAGGCTGGGTTTCCACAGCACCTAGACCATTAAACTGTTACAAGAAAATATAGGAGAAGTGAATCTTCAAGACCTTGGGTTAGGCAGTTGCCTTAGATATGACATCAAAAGCACATACAACTGAAGAAAATAGATCAATTTGATTTAGTTAAAAATTTAAAACTTGGGTGCTTCAAAGGATACCATAAAGAAAGAGATAACCTACAGGATGGGAGAAAATAATCTTATAGTTGATAAGGATTTTTAGAAGTGGAGAAGAGAATGGACAAGTAATTTCTCCTAAGAAGACATACCAATAGCTAATAAGCACATGAAAAGATGCTCAAAGGCTTCAGTCATCAGAGAAATGCAAATCAAAACCACAGAGATGGAAAATCACCGAGACACTAACAAATATTAAGGAGGATGAAGAGTGAGTGGGGCCCTCAGACACAGCTGGCAGGAACATAGCGTGGTGCAGACTCTGGGGAACAGCCTGGTAGCTCCTCAAAATGTTAGACATGCAGTTACCTTATTGTCCCTCCAGGAACTTCACTCACAGGTTTATAATGAAGAGAAAACATGACTATAAAACAGCAGGTACAGGATTATGTATAATTAGCCAAGAAGTTGAAACAACCCAATGTCCATCTGCTAATGAGCAAAAAAGAAGTTGTGGTATATCCATACAGAGGATTACTCAGTTATACAGAGGGATGGCCACTGACTCATGCTAGGGAGGCAAACCTCCAAGACACCCTGCTGAGGGAAAGAAGCCAGTCATAGAAGATCATGTATCACATGATCCCATTCATGTGAAATGTTCAAAATAGGCAGAATCTCAGACACAAAGTAGGTTAGTGGTTGCCTAGGGCTGGAGAGCTTGAGGTTAAATGGAGAGCAGCTGTGCCTGGGTGTAGTATGTCTTTTGGGGGAGGATGAAAATGTTTTAAAATTTATTGTGATGGTTGTTCAACTCCATGAGTACACTAGAAATCACTGAATTATATGCTTTAAATGGGTGAATTATATGGTGTATGAATTACATATAAATAAAGCTGTTATGTAAAGAGCAAAAGTTTGTACAATAAATATTATGTGAATATATTTTTTGTAAAATAATATTTATAAATTCTTAAACTTTATATTCTCTCTCTCTCTCTCTCTTCTTTTTTTTTTTTTTTTTTCAGTACTGGGAATTAAACCCAGACTCTCAAGGATGCTAGGCACACACATATTGCTGAACTACATTCCTAGTCATAAACGTATTCTTAAAAATTAGCAAAATTTGTGAAGCAGTACAAAAGAAGAGAGTGCATTGTATATTCTTCCTTGACAAAGCTTTTTAATGGCAACTGATACTACCTCATGAATGAAAGAATATCACTATTAATTGCATTCTTTTATATACCAACACTGTGCTAGATTCTTAGCATACATTTTGTCTTTTGTTTTTCACAACACCCTGGTGTGTGTGTGTGTGTGTGTGTGTGTGTGTATATATATATATTTTTTTTTTTTACCCTTCTCCTCTTGCTTTCTATTCTTCCACATACCAAACTTTATGTTTATAAAATCACATTATTGGCTGGGGATACAGCTCAGTGGTAAAACGTATACTTAGCTTGTATAAGACCTTGGGTTCAGAGCGCCTCACTTAAAAAAAAAAAAAATTCATCAGAACACCAAAAATGCCTAGTTCCTTTCACTGTTGTTAGCAATAGCTAGCTATAAAGGTAAATGTTTCAGGTCTTTATTTCCTTATTTGAATTGGTTTTTATGGGCTCCTATGTAGTTTAAGAACATATTGATAAATCCAGCTCTGTTTAAGTATAATTTTAAATTTAAACTAAAGCATTTTAGATTAGTTATAGTTGGTCTCTAATTTGAGGAGAAAGTACTTTACGTTTTAGGTCGTTGCTGGGGTTTTGTTTAATGTGGTACTAAATTTGAAAGACAAATTATTGGCAAAGATGATCTTTAAAATCTTTGTTTTTCTATTGCAAATACAGACTAGCGATGGTGGAAATCTTGTCCATAAATGCTAATCCTAGTATTTTTTTGTTTGTTTTTAGTATTATGTGCCAAGAACCTTGCAAAGAAAGACTTCTTCAGTAAGTAAACACCCATTTTTGCTCTTATAATATCATGTATTTCTGAAATTTTAACCTTTATAAAAACACTGGGTGTATTCTCCTAAAAGCCTTGGAATAAAAATACATGGTTTGAGAAACTTGGTTTCCCAGTCAACTACCGCGCAGGGGCTCCCTTGCTCAAAAACACAGAATTTTTAAATCATACCAGAAAAACTGCATGTCATACCTGGGCTCTCTGCCTCCTTATTTAGAGGGTTTTGCTTTCTGTTGAACAAAGTGTTTTTTTCCCAAGAATAAATGAGACATTTTCCTGTAAAATAGTTGGCTTGAGTAGAATTATTAATCCAGTTTTCTAAATTAAATCACATTTTTAAAGACCCATAATTCAAAGCATTGTAAAAAATAGAGAGTCCTACAGGAAGAAATCACTCCTTAATGTAAGAAATTCACCTACTGTCAAGTAGATGCCTGCAGTGTTAAATTCTTCACACTTTCTGATCCTCCCAAGATCACGGCTCAGCTCTTAAGTGGTATTATTCACACTTTAGAGATGAATCTTAGGCTCAAAGACTTTATCCAAGTATCTGGGAAGCTCCAAAGCTGTGGATCACTTCCAGGTCTATCTCCAGAACCCTCACACTTCACCACCTGTCTGATCCCATAAACCTGTCTGAATCATACGCTGATATTTAGGGACTTACCAAATTAAGGTAGGTAAGACATTCCATAGGTAAGACAGACTGAGATTTCTGGGTACTACTATTTTTAGAAAGCATAAATACAATGAACTACAGATACCTTTCCCTCCATTTAATTAACCCCCCTTAGTGGTCAGCAGAGATGGAAATTTATTTGAATTTAAACCCATTTTTATAGTTTTCTGTCCTCTAAACATCAGAGAGTGAAAACACACAGGGTGTCTCTCTCAGAAAGCTAAATAGCAATCATTTACTTTGCCAGTTGAAACTAATCTTAGATCAGAGAATAAAGTCCCAGGACAATCTTCTGCCCTGCTAACTGACCTTGTAGCTCCCTCTAGCCTGAAAGAGGTGTCTGTGACTCTTCTCATCCCGCTGTGGCTGTCCTCTCTCCTCTAGGACTCCCTGACCCCTTTGCTAAGATTGTTGTGGACGGCTCTGGGCAGTGCCACTCAACCGACACTGTGAAAAACACATTGGACCCAAAGTGGAACCAGCACTATGATCTGTGAGTTGGAGGCCTGTGAGCCACTTAGGGAAAGCAGGGAGTGGGTGTCTCCATGGAATAGGAGCGTTTAGGGAAGAACGTTGGTGTGGGGGAGGGGGGAGTTGCTAACTTGTGAATGATAACAAGTAAATGGTGAAACAAATACATCTCACCAAATTTTACACTTTTAGTACTTGGGAGGTCTTTCACTTGGTGTTTGCAGAGATTTTGATGGTTTCTTACTGTAATGATGATCCTCAGACTTTTCAATCTCCTGGTCATTTTAGCAGGAAAGAGCATGTTTTTCAGTGAAACCCTAAATCTAGTTGTAGTTTTTAACCTAAAAAAATGCATTATTAGGATCACATAGTTCTGTTGATTTTAAAAACATTTTGCTTTTTTAATACAGAGAAATTTTCTGCAGAATAAAATTTAGTTTTGCATAATCCAACGTATATAAGCCCATGATCAAACATGTATAAGCAGACAATTTTGTATATTCATTCAAGAATGGAATTGCACTTTGAAGATCACTATTTTATATGTACCTGTGTTTGCGTTTTCGTTAAAGTGGCTGAACACCGTGGTACACACCTATAATCTTAGAGGCTTGGGAGGATGAGGCAGGAGGATCATGAGTTCAAAGGCAGCCTCAGCAATTATTGAAGCCCTAAGCAACTCAGTGAAAATCTGTCTCTAAATAAAATATAAAAAAGGGCTGGGGGTATGGCTCAGTGGTTAAGCACCCCTGGGTTCAATCCCTAGTACCCAAAAGAAACTTTCATCAAAGTAATACTGATTAATTAGCAAACTGTATTGTGTATATTTGGGTCAGATTTTTAGTAGTAGTTATATCCTAAAGTTTAGTTTCAGCTACTTGACGGGTCCAGAAATGACTTGGAAAGTGATTGTAACCTCTTGTCCTGAAAGTTGGTCTCTATAGTTGACTCACACTGAGAATGAGGGGGACTTTCATGTCTTAGTGTGCTTTTTGTATACTTTTGGTAGTTTATAAGGAGTGTCTTGTTATGAACTAGTTTTATTTGTTATGCCCAATTGGTGAGTACTTATGAACATGTCACTGTCCTATGGAAGTATTAGAATACAGTGAACCTCTTTATAGCATTATAGGAACATAGGGTGATCTACACCTGTTTCTCGCATAACTGGGCATGATCTTTCCCCCCAGCTTTTTATAGTTAGTAGTGGGTATATTTATCGAATATCTGTCACATGCAGGCTATAGAGTCAGCTTTATTTTATAAGAATCCTTAAATCAATCACATAAAATTTCAATGATATTATCATAATTCAGAAATACAATTAAAACGAGTTTGCATTTTCTTTTCAGATACGTTGGGAAAACAGATTCTATAACCATCAGCGTATGGAACCACAAGAAAATTCACAAGAAACAGGGAGCTGGCTTCCTGGGTTGCGTGCGGCTGCTCTCCAATGCCATCAGCAGATTAAAAGATACTGGCTGTAAGAACCAAATGCTCTTCTGCCTCTTATTGCAACTGAAGAAACCTTAGGAGGCATCTTTTTTTTTTTTGAATGCTGAATACAGAATTCCTGCCTCCCCCTAGTTAACGTTCCTTGGGTTAAGTTTTGAATTGTTTGTTTGCAGACCAGCGTTTGGATCTATGCAAACTAAATCCCTCAGATACTGATGCAGTTCGTGGCCAAATAGTGGGTAAGAACTTTCTCATCTGTATAAAGGGATGCTCTTACAGAACATAACACTCAGCTTGTCCTCAGAGGAGCACACGTAGGCATTGACGTACTTCTAAGGACAGACCATATATGGGCCATCTCTGAAAGGTTGTATCGTGTGTGGTGTTGTTTATTTATCAAACTGCCTTCATCCTGTTGTTTACACATGTACAGAAAGATTTGAGATTATAATTTTAAATGTCATTCTGATCATCACATTAGTGGACAATTAATATGTCATTGTATTATTCAAGGATTGAGAATGGTGGCCACATATGCAAGAACTGGGGCCATAGTTTCTTTGAGAAGCCCCCCCTCCCTTAATGTAAAAAGCAAAGAGGATTTGTGATGAATTTCGTATATAATGTAAATTATAAAGTCAAGGATCGGATTATGTAGAGAGAAAGATTTAAATGTGCTAATGCTACAGTGTTGACTCTTGGCATTCTGTAGGAAGTGATTTATCTCTTTAGAAGCTCATTCTATTACATACCTATTTTTATCAGTATTTTAGGTAAGGCTGGTGATGACTGTTTGCATCGAAAGGAATCAAAGAAAATGGTCTCACAGCAGCAGAGTGACTTTATGACTCCTGTCTTTTGGGTTTTGTCTTAGGTAGACCTGAGCCAAGTCTAATGAACAGCGCGTACATGTTCCGAACATGATCATAATGAAAAAGTTCTCACTTAACTGCTTTTCCATTTGCGATTTCTTCCTTTATTTGGGGGAGGGATGTGCCAGTGGGAAACAACTGAAACGACTTCATAAATGTTGTGTTGTTCATAGTAAAGTAAGAGTGTAAATACTGAGGTCTAAATTTTGCAGATAATGAAAGCGTGTTGTCCTTATTAAACATGAGTCATAATTCCCTTAATAGATAAAGTAAGTTAAAGGAACTGAATTTTGCGTTGTTACTTTATGGAGAACTTAAGAACCCCATCACCTTTTCTGCTGTACATTTTCAGGGACTGTCCAGATGGCTGTGGTGTATGCAGCTACTGGAGTAAAATCCAGCATATTGAAAGCACAAGGCTGTGTGTGTGTGTGTGTGTGTGTGTACACATGCCTTGTTTTTTTTTTTTTTGCTATGGTACCTAAATTATAAAGTTGCAATGGCTCTTTGTATTACTGTTGTATAAAACACCACTGGTTTTAATGAAGGCCGTTCTTCTCTGTTTTAGTCAGTTTACAGACACGAGACAGAATAGGCACTGGAGGGTCGGTGGTGGACTGCAGAGGACTGTTAGAAAATGAAGGGTACGTATGACCATGGTGTCGCCAGCCAAGCTCTCTGCTCCCATAGGCTCTCAGCCTGCAGGAAGGTAACCTTCCTCTTTTACGTCATTGTGCTGGACACAGCTTTTGGGATAAAACTATGATCCAACTGACTTGTTGCTGGAGTTGTGCCCCAAAAACTCAGGATCCAACTTGGGAGCCTCCATCTGGCCAAAGAAGGGACAGTTTGAGCATCAATAAGAATTATAACTGCAATGAATCAAAACATATCAAATCTATTAAAGATTCATGAGTTCACACTTGACACTAAGGGGGAACCTAAAACACTAAAAAAAAAAAAAAAAAAAAACCACCCAAAATATTTAAAAACTCATTGGTCACTGTCACAATTTTGCTATCCCCTGTCAGTTAACAGAATAGGCAACAATCATTAGTAGTTTCTGACAGTATCACAAAGGAGAGATGATCTCACGTCAACATACCTCTTGGAAACACAGGGGACAGGAAATATGCCCAAGGTCTTCAGATATCCTGCAAGAAAAGTTAAAAATAAAAAGGAGGGAAGGAGAACCTATAAATTAATGATAAAAAAGAGACATAGAGACATCGGTACTAAATGTAGCGTGAGGACTTTGGATCCTGATTTAGGAGATAATTGAAGAAATTTGAATGTGGGTGTTTGATTTTTTTTCAAAATTAACGTGTAGTCATGATAATGGAAAAAGTCCTTACCTTTGAGAGGTGTATGCCGAAATATTTAAGGATGAAATGATAAAACATTAGACATTAGAGGGGAGGAATCAGAGAGCATCCCAGAGATAGCTGTTGTCACTAGTTGATGGACATAGAGTTGCGGGGCAGGGAGAGAGAGGGGACTCATAGTTCTAGTCTCTCAATTTGTGTATATATTTGAAATTTTTCAATATAAGAGTTTTTTTTTTTTCTCTCAAGTACTTATAAGGGAAAATAGCTTCTTAAGGTAAATTGTCTTCAAAATTGCCCAGGGGGTAAAAACTTATATTTAAAAAGCACTTAGAATCATTGCAGTATTTTATGTAACCAGGAATTCCATTAGAGAATAAAATAACAAGCAAAATGAAGAATTTAGATTTGATTTTAAACCCAGAAAAATGAAATCTCATTCCACAGGCTCCTTATAGTACAAAATAGTTTTTTTCCCCCCATCATTCAGCTCTACCGTAAGCTGCACTTTATGGGTGGCCCTGGTGGCACTTTCAATTTGGCTCCTTTTGGCCGCCTGTTCCTTAGAAAGAGTCCGCCCTGTTTAATTAGGACATGATGGAGTGTGTAAAACTCAACACTTGGGGTGCTCTCTCTCAATTGTTAAAAGAAAGGAGAACCCACATGTGTGACAGTATTGGGTGGAATTTGAAGGCCCAAGTCTCGTGACACTGCCACAGAGTTCCCACACCTGTTATGCCTTTCTTCCTTCCAGAACCGTGTATGAAGACTCGGGACCCGGGAGGCCGCTCAGCTGCTTCATGGAGGAACCGGCCCCTTACTCGGATGGTACTGGTGCTGCCGCAGGTGGAGGGAACTGCAGGTTTGCAGAGTCCCCAAGTCAAGATCAAAGGCTTCAGGCACAACGACTTAGAAATCCAGAAGTCCGAGGTTCACTACAGACGCCCCAGAACCGTCCACATGGCCACCAGTCACCAGAACTGCCTGAAGGCTATGGTGAGAGGACACTGCCACATCCCTCGTATCGAGTTCCTGCGGGAGCTCTGCTTTTGCAAGTGTTAATGTGGCTATGCCACTCGGTGGCTGTGGCCATGTAAAGACCCTTGGGAAAGAGGTATGAGTATGGCTGACAGGGATTTCTCAGCAGTCGCTCTGGTCTCTCAGTTTAGAAATTTTAGGCACATTAATGCCAAAGAGAACCCAGGTATTGTGTAAATAGATGAGGGAATCAGCCATGATCTGTGACTGGAGCATGGGAAGGACAGCAGGGGGTCAAGGGCAAGAAGAAGGGATCCCTTGACCACCCCCTAAAGAGGACAGACGTGAAGGAGGATGTAGTTTAGGCTTGGCAGATTATCCAGAAGCGAGATTATCCAGAACCTAAACCACTTGCTTAACAAAAACCAGCTTGAAAGCAAGAATGCCTGGTTCCGTGCAGCACACAGAGAAAAATGAATGTGAAAGGTCATTCTTAAGGTGGCAGAGAAGTGACAGATGTGCATAAAGGCGGGTCCTCCAGATGTTGAGACAGGGCTGTGTCCTTTCAGGTCCTTTCCCAGTAAAGTTAAAGAATGGTGAAAGGAAGTGTAGAATTGCTGTGAACACACTAGAGGACAGAGTGACCACTCCGTGGAATTGGACTTCTCTAATTCTATCCTCTAATTTCTTATGCAGAACAGAGAACGACAGTACAAGGACAAGTTTACTTTTTGCACACACAGACTGGAGTTAGCACATGGCATGACCCCCGGATACCCAGGTAGGTTTGCTAAAATGCCCACCATCCAAGCTGGTCTTCCAGCAGTTGCCATGCATAGCCAGTCCCCTTCCAGATATATTGCTCTCAGTTTAAACTAAAATTAGGGATGAGTGAAATGAGATTTTCTTCAATAAGTTGAGTGTTTAGTGAACAGGATGTATTTGAAACGAGGTTGACTAGAGTTGGTGATTGTCGAAGTGGGCTCATTGGTGATTTCATTATGGCCCCTCTCAACTTTCTTATATGCTTAAAATGTTCTACAATAAGTTGAAGAGGAAATATAAAGATTCTCTTACCCCTTTTCTCTGCTGCTTTATTATTCCTCTTGCTCATTCCCTGTGGGCCCATTCTGGGGGAGATGAAGCTTTTCTGAACGAATCACTTCTACCAGGCCATACAGCTGAGCCTAGATCCGAGCTCCTTCCCCAACATGCTCCACAACAGAGTTGAGTTTCTTTTTTAAAATAGCATTACTACCTAATAAGATTTTTTGGTAATGTTTACTTCCTTTTTATGCATAATTTGTTTCACCTGAGAATAAGCTTCCTGTCTTTGATTTTCCAAGTCTATGTTGATTTTACGATTCAGTATCTATAATTACAGTGGAAATATTACCTGCAAATGAATGAGGTATCTCTCCAGTACTCACTGTAGGAAATGATAGGCTTTTGTGTTAATTACAAAAGCATCTCCGTCAGAAATGCTGTGCCCCCCGCCCCCCATCTTCTGTGGCTTGTATTGAGGAGATTCATCAGGAGCCTAGAAGGGAGACCACTTGCTTAACAAAAACGGCTTGAAAGCAAAACTCCTGGTCCCATGCAGCTGCTCAGAATTGCGAGTTTTCCAGTGCACATTGTACTTGACCTTGAAACCCCTAGGAGCCCTCTGGGAGCCTTTCAGTGAAGAAACCTTTCTGACTGGGAGCATTTGATTCAGCTTGTGAATGCGGTAGCTTTGTGACAGCTCTCAGATCCCCCTGACTGTGCTGGTCTCTCTAAGAAGTGGTGTTCCTGGGGTAGACCTGGTCTTCCTTCTCTGAACTCAGTTGGATAAACCTCCCTGTTTCTTCCATTTTGGTAGAGACCTTAACAGTGTGAATTGTGATGAACTCGGACCACTGCCACCAGGTTGGGAAGTCAGAAGTACAGTTTCTGGGAGGATATATTTTGTAGATCATAATAACCGAACAACCCAGTTTACAGATCCAAGGTTACACCACATCATGAAGTAAGACTTTCTAAAAAATCTTTGTTGACCTCTTCATTTACAACTGAATGTTTTCTTCCATTCACACTTTTCTTGATTTATCTACTGCATTGTTTGTTGGACAATAACCATGAGCAAAATAGGGTAAAATATTTGATGAACAACTGCATAATTTTAAATTCTTAAATTAGCGTGGACACTACTGAGGCCATATTTTGTTGCTGCTCTTTTTCTATATGCAATCTGAATAAAAGTCACCAGGATGACAATACTCAGCAGCTTCGTTAACAAAGCTTCAGCACGAGGTGCTCTAATGGCAGGCCTGGCCCAGAGAATGAGGAGTAGAGAAATGAGTTTGGGGTTGACCTTGTGTTGCACATTCAGTGTTATAGATTTGTGATGTCCTCAGGACAAAAAATCACACTTAGCTCTCCTAAGTGGCAGCTGACACTAGTGGCAGAACTTGAACAAGGCAGATGCCACTTTGTCACTCCATGGGTCCTACTGCTTTGATTTTACTGATACTTTGCCCTTAACGAGCAGGTTTCAGAATCCCTAGGCAGTTGAAAGAAGGGATGCTTAGCATTGGATTTCACTGAGTTGTTTGCTCTTGTATGTATGTGTGGCCGCCCTCCGGGATTATCTCCTTTAAATAAAAATTCCCATCAACTCGGTTTCATTCTGACTACTGAGGTGCCGCTAGCTGTGTGCTGTCTTATCGTTATGTAGTAGATGCAAGATAAACGAGAGCAATTTCTATTTCTATTTGTAGCAACAATGTGCAAGATAAACAGTTGCTTGGAATTGGGGAATCTCCTTTATTGTGCCCTAGACCTATATTGAAGTGGATGGTGGCCACCAGCAGTTGTTGCACATCTTAGTACCTTGTTATGTCACCAGAGAAAAGAACTCTACCTGAAGTTGCGTAACAAGTTCTTCTTGGTCCCTGCCACATGCGGGGCCTTGCTTGCAGCTCCTGGCCTTTGCTTGTGGTGTGACTCGGCTCATTTTCTTCTCCTCCAGTCACCAGTGCCAACTAAAGGAGCCCAGCCAGCCACCGCCACTGCCCAGTGAAGGCTCTGTGGAGGATGAGGAGCTTCCTGCCCAGAGATATGAAAGAGACCTAGTCCAGAAACTCAAAGTCCTCAGACACGAGCTGTCACTGCAGCAACCCCAGGCTGGCCATTGTCGCATTGAAGTTTCTAGAGAAGAAATATTTGAGGTACAGAATTCATTAGGTGTAGATGGTCAGCCCTGGGGATAAGCAGGGTGATGTGGGCTCCTTGGTTTTAAGTGAACTGACCTGTGGGCGGTTTTCCCTCTTGAGTGAGCTCTGCTTTCTGGTTAATATTTCAGGTATCGATTCTGTTGCTCGATGAAATTCAGGGCTTCTCAGGACCAAGGCCTACGTGGAGAGAGGGACTATATTTCCTCAGATGCTAACAGTTTAAAAAAGCTCGATAGCTGGCTTCTGGGGTGAAAGCCTAGAAATAGGTGCAGAAGCTAGCCCTCCGCTGCCTTGGGGCGCCTCTCTGTATTGTGCAGATCACATGCTCTCAGTCTGTTTTCCTCATACCCAGCTGCTCTGACCCCTGCTGCTTTGTATGGGGCTCCATCTAAGAGCATTTCCTTCTCAGAGAAGCTTGGTGGCCGGGGGGTCTCCCTGTCATTTCCTCTGGTCACAGGAAGATTAGACAGTTCCTGGGAAGGGCATCATCAGAGTCCCTAAAGAGACAGGACCCTTTTCTCAGGAAAGAGGATCATGAGGCCAAAGCTCACCTGGCTTTGGGTCATCTCTCAAAACAGTAGGGACAGTGGCCCCAAATGACCAAATGAGACCATTCAAGAAGTGCACATAGTTCCTCTCTGGGCTCTGGCAGCTGAGGGAAGTCCTGGAGTGCGAGACCCACCACTGTGGGGGGCGTGCACCTTGCCCTGGGGGAGAGCACAGCAGGAGAAGGCCAAGTGTGGGCAGGACACTGGTGCAGCGGTGCTGGAAGAGTTGGGGGATTGCAGCGACCTCCTGCCCACCGAGCCACCGGCAGTGATTGCCTGGAGTGGGAAAGACCTAAATCACTGCTTCCAGCTGCTGCTCACTGGCACCCCTGTGCCTCCTGGGATGGGAAGAGTTTGAACAGCGCTGCACTCAAGGCATGAAGAGATTCTAAGTGCCCCTTCACCGAGAGTCGGTGCCAATAGCTAGCCACTTGCAGTCTGCGAGCCGAGTGTGAGGGACCACGACGCTGTGACCTCACAGGGTCTGTGCTGGGGGCAAGCTGCTTTTTGTCTTACTTAAACCCGTTCTACCTTTTTCACTCTGGGAAATCACGTGTGATTTTTCACTTAAAACAGGCCCAGAATTCTTGGAACATCCAGACTCAGTGACATCTTCATTTGGGTTAAAGTACATTAATTTTTTATAGGGCACATTAAAACTAATTTATGTAGAGACAAATCAGCCCTAATGAGGACATTTGTCCTTAAATTCTTAGTGATTATGCTGACCACACATTTAGGTGTTCCCTGGACTGTGTGTGTTTGCTGTTTCTGGAGGGAGAAGCTGTGGAAGAGGAGATGGAATGTGCTAGACACAGTGGTGGGGCCCTGCCGTAGCAACCAGAGGAGACTTGGGGGTCAATGGCTGCTCCATTACCCATGACCTCTGGTCTTTTAGTACCTTTAAGAATCAAGGAAGAAAAAAATAGTAAACCAAAAATAAAAATTAAAAAAAAAAGCAGAGGCTTTCTTTCTCAACCTGCCATATTGGTGATATCTAGGAGTCCTATCGTCAGATCATGAAGATGCGCCCCAAGGACCTGAAGAAGCGACTCATGGTGAAGTTCCGTGGGGAGGAGGGCTTGGACTACGGTGGAGTGGCGCGGTGAGTGGCTGTCGGTGTGACTGCAGCCCTAGCTACAGAGAGGGTGGCATGCCGCTACCCAGTGCCTGAGCAGGTCCCTGGGGCTTCCCCTGCTGGCCACAGCTGACTGTCTGTGAAAGGCATCAGATCGCGCAGGTCACTTCAGTAGAGCTAGAATTAAACTCGCCCTCTTCAGCTCAGGTGTCTGAATCTGAGCAGGGGGGCGTGTCCGTTGCATTTGTATCATAGGACTTTTGTAAAATACAATTTGGGTGAAAATAATTCAAGCAAATCATTAAAAAAAACACATACACACACACAGAACAGGATAAAAGAGCAAAAATCCACTTCCTGTCCAACCTCTTGTCTCACCTTGGAGACACCTGCTTCACTCTTGGCTTTTTTAACTGATTCTTCTAACAGGCATCTTCGTATCACTTGGTGGACCAAGTTCAGACTGTTATGCCCTGTGCCCAGAGGCACAGGCCCTTGGTGGCAAGGGCTTCATGGCGTGCTCTCACCTCCCAGTTTAGTAACATCGATCTTTTTAGTCCGCCATGGTCTGTCCTGGGCACTGTATGTAATGGGCTCACACCTTTGTTTTTTGGATCATCACTTAGAAACACTCTCTTTTGGCCTCTCATTTTCACTTCCCTCAGCCTTTCCTCTCCCTTAAATTCCGTCATCTGTGTGTTATATTTCTATCGTCCATGTTCAAATTTACATTCTTTCTTTAACCAAAAATTTAGTTTCTTGTTCTTATCTGCATAGTAACTATAAGGGTTAAAATCAATTCTGTTAATATTATGATAATGTAACTATTGTTCACCAAGGGGTTAAACAGTCTTCTATAATTCATCTTCTTAAACAGATTTTAATTTTTCAAAGAATTTCTTCTTTTTAAGGCTTTATTTGTCTTTATTACCCCCTTTAAATTTAAAAATCCTTCAGGGGATGGGCACAATGGCACATGCCTGTAATCCCAGTAGGAGGCTGAGACGGGAGGATCACATGTTTGAGGCCAGACTAGACATATAGTAAGACCTTGTCTCAAAATCAAAAAATAAGGATTGGGGGTGTGGCTCAGTGATGGAGCACCACTGTGTTCAATGTCCAGTCCCCTGCCCTGCCTGAAAAAAATCCCAGGACAGTGTCACATATTGTGTCCTTTGACATCTTCCTTTCCTTCTCTTCCCTGTCCTTGTCTGTCTCAGAGGTCTCTGTGTGGTCTGTCAGTGATGCACCAGGCCTCCTTCTGCCCAGCCATTGGCATGACCACCACTCTTCTGCCATGGTTTGAGGTCTCCTCCCTCAGCTCAATCCCTGTGTCACTGCCACCACCTGAGGTCACATTGTGTGATGTCTCTTGCCTGCAGCTCCCAGCAGACATGACCTGCACTCAGCAAGGGGTGTCAGCCTGCATCCCCCATTCCTAGAGCAGCTGCTGACGCTAGCACGCTCGCCTCTCCATCAGTGCCTGCTGCAGGAATGGCTGCACCTCTCCTTAGGTTTCTCTCCTCCAGTTTCTTGCTTCAGTCTTTCGGAATTGCCCGTTACCTGGATATTGGCTCCTGGCCTGATCCTCTGTGTGTCTCATCTTTTTTCTTTCCCGTGTCTTTCTCCCACCCACCCCCTTTTCTGGGAGATTTCTTTAACTTGTCTTCCAGTGCTTCAAAAAATTTTGTCTTGATTTTAAAATCACCACAGCATAATCATCTATTGAACTCCATGGTGATCAAATAGAAAACAAAAGAATGAAGCTAGTATCCGTCACATGATTGCATCTTCTCCTGGGAGCTCCCCATGATTTGTATGCTGCTGTAGGAACTGTATCTGCTTGCCAGCCAGCAGAGACTGGCCTCCTCCCACGTGCTGGGTACTAGAGACGCAGCAGAGCAAACCAGGCACTGCACTTGCGCACTCCTCCCTCACGCACTAGTCAAAGAATTATGCACATGAATATAAACCCACAAATTGGCCAGGCTCGGGGGAAGTTGGGTGGGAGAGCTTCGTGCCTCTGCCATGTTTTGGTCTGACCATTTTTTAATCTTTTCCCAATTTTCTTGCACAGATGATTTTTATTTGTGCTTATTCCTTCCTATTCTGTCTCATTTCTGTCTTTTCTGTTTGGAAGAGTAAGAAATGCCAGAATAAAATTGGGGGCTGGTGTCTTAATGAGGCTTATCTGAGAGTTTTGAAAAGGATAAGCGGCTGGGACCGGTTGCAGACCTGCACAGGTGTCTGTGCCCCCCAGCCCCCATTCCCGGGTGCAGAGTGACCCAACCACAGCGATCGGATCACACAGCTTCTATCTAAAGTGCTTTGTTTGTTTGTCTGGTTTTGATTTTGGAGTTTTTAAACAATAAAATAATTCCAACTTAAAGGAATTCAGCCAAGAATCTAACTCATATATCCCATCCAGACTTAAAACTCTTAAAATTTTAAAGATTTTAAAATATATAACCAGTTTTATAAGGTACCAAAGTGATAGATGTTTGTCGTTTAAAAAATAAATAAATAAAAAGAAGAAAGAAAAAGAAAAAGAATTGAACAGAAAATTGCAAAGGGAAAACATCATTCTTTTTTTTTTTTTTTGTACTGGGGATTGAACTCAGGTGGGCTTAACCACTGAGCCACATCCCCAGCCCCCTTTTTTAATATTTTATTTGGAGACAGAGTCTTGCTTAGTTGCTTAGAGCCTCACCAAGTTGCTGAGGCTGGCTTTGAACTCTTGACTCAGCCTCTGGAGCTGCTGGGATTACAGGTGCACACCACTGTGTCCCGCAAAAGTCATTCTTGAACAACTCTTCTCCTGTTTCCCTAGACTTTGAAATGTTTTCCCCGTCTATGAAACATTTTACCGTGGAACATTTAAAAACTAGAAATAAGTAAAAGAAAATGACCCTGACTCTTAATACTGGAGTGAACTATTGATAAATTAGAGTCATGCTACTTTTATGGCATTTTTATCAGCTAACATCACATCATGAATGTCATCACCTGAGAGTTGGGTCTTTGCAGAGTTTTAGAGAGAACTTTAGCTTAGAGGCAGAAAAGATGACAAGTGCACTGCCAAGAATGCCATCCTCTTACGGGGACTCTTAATTCTAACCTAATCAGATGCAGCTGTGTCAGAGTCTTGATTACTTGGTGATGATGGGTTGCCTCGGGGCGCTCTCCTGGGTGCTCTTCTGGGTACTGTGAACTTTACTAGGCTCCTGGCCTCGTCCTCAGAGCAAGTGTCCTTTCCCACTTCATGTTACCCTCTCAGCTTCCTGGGGCACAGTGAATGAATCCTTAGGATAAGATCTGAAACCAGAAATGGTAGCACCTTTGAGATGTGTTATTGTCATTCCTAGGGAGTGGCTTTATTTGTTGTGCCATGAAATGTTGAATCCATATTATGGACTCTTCCAGTATTCCACGGACAATATTTACATGTTGCAAATCAACCCAGATTCTTCAATCAACCCTGTAAGTATCTGTGAATAGAGGTCGGGTGTGTCGCTGGAGGATTTTTAAGATGTATTTTCAGTTTCAATCTCTGTCCATGGTTTACTCATGATATAGGCTTAAAGACTAAGGTAAATAAAACACGGAAAAATAGAGTGAGGACTGAGTTGCAAAGGGTGATTCCCATCCTAGGTTTTTAGCCTGGGGTCACCAGCGTGTTGTTTTTGAGGAGAATACAGTGAAATCCAGCTGTTCCCACAGCAGAACATTTTATTGTCATTTGAGGGAACTCTGATTTGATGACCATGTTGGTTGAAGGTGACATTCTGAGAAGTGGTTTAGGACACTCTTAGAGTTGGAGAGACCCAAGCTTAGACTGTGGGCCATATTTACCACATGGGCACTGTCACAAGGCCCCTGAGGGGAAGCCAGGGACCAGTTCTACTTGAGCATTCAGATGTGAAAGAACCTTTAACCAGCGTGGAAGTGTCGACTAATTTTCTGAGATAATTTTAATTCAAGCCTGAAAGTAGAATTGTGAGGTTGCCTAGTTAAAAACCAGCACAGCTCTGGTTTTGGAAAGATTCCTTTTTCTCTTGGCCATTTGTACTTATTTTCCTCCGTGTCCACATCCCCCGCCACCCTCTGAGGATTCTTTTCTTTGCTTTTTGTGGGGGGAGGGGTGGCGGGGAAGGGAGGAAAGTCACTCTTGGCTCTTCCTTTCTTTTGAGCAGATACAAGGGAAGGGGGGGCAGGGTGGCTTCCTGGGCCAGTAGGTGCACAAGGCCACTGTACTTGGCTTGCTTCTCTGCTGTCACCAAGGTGACATTCTCAATTTCGGAAGAAGGGTCTTGCCTGTTCCTCTTGCACCAGCCCCACAATTAGGCAGCAGCTCTGAGGACCGGTGCTAGACTTGAACATATAAATGTCCTGCTCATGTGTATGAAAGACATGCTCTGAATTTCAGCGACAAGCAGCCTTTATTCTATTTGGCCACTAGTATAAGCTGGAGGCAGTGGAGTCAGTGCTCAGGGCCTATGGGACAGTCTCCCAAGAGGTTTGGAGAAAGCAGGAGGTGCCCATGTTGGTGGATCATCTTCCTAATGAACTCGTGTTCTCTGCTGCCCCCTGCAGGACCATCTGTCTTATTTCCACTTTGTGGGTCGGATCATGGGTCTGGCTGTGTTCCATGGACACTACATAAATGGGGGTTTCACAGTTCCCTTCTACAAGCAGCTTCTGGGGAAACCCATCCAACTCTCTGACCTGGAGTCGGTGGACCCAGAACTGCACAAGAGCTTGGTGTGGATTCTGTAAGTATCCGCTCACTGCTGAGCTAACTGGAAGTTCATACCTAGTCCCTGTGAGGGTGTGCTGCTGTGTCTAGGTGTGGGCATGCGCACGTGTGTTTCAGGGATGGGGATGGGACTGGGACTGAGGAAGAGAAGGAGAGAAGTCTCTGTACACAGCCAGAAATAACAGCAGATTAACAAGATCACTGACTGACTTTCCTTATGAGGCTTGATCAGTTTCTCTTCATGTGCTAGTTTCTCATTGTTCCCTTGAATTACTAAGTCTAATTAAAATGTCAATAGCCATTCTTTGCCGTGTGTGTGTGTGTGTGTGTGTGTGTGTGTGTGTAAAAGAGAGAGACTGAGACCCCACAGTGTCTCCAGTTAATATGCAGAGGTCCTGAGAAAGTATCAAAACAAAATGAACACTTAGTCCCCTCTGCTTTAGAATTATCCTAAACACTCTTTAGAGTGGCGGACACAGGAACAAAGTGACCAGTAGGCGTGGCAGGTCCCTGTGAAAGACCCAAGCCCTGGCATGGCAGGAGAGCTGCTGTGTGGAGTGGCGTTGAGTCTTGGCCACCTTCTGTCTTCATAGGCTGCACCTCACAAGGGGCGTGGGGGAGTCGAGAGCATCCTGTGGGGACCCCTGACTCTACCTGTGTGTCAAGCATTCGGGTGGATTAAAGAGCCAGTTTGCATTTTCAAGTGCTTTTTTTGCTAGAATAGATGCCTGTGTGGCTTCCTGGGTGACCTCCCTTTGACTGGGCCACCTCTTGACAATCTCTCCCTTGTCCTCCCAGACTCATTACAAAGCAGTTGGGACACAGGTCTCAAAAGATCATAAAGCAAGCCATCACCCTCCTTCCAGTCAGAAAGATGGGGACCCTGGCACTGGAGCTGTGGCTTCCAGCTCTTTCCAATGCTAGTCTTCCACATGACTCCACAGGGCCGCGTGTCCACCAGCTGTCCCTCTGCCACCTCTGTCTTCGGTGCTCCCCTTTTTGCCGCAGGGTGGCAAAGATCTCACTGACACTGGCCTCGTATCCCCTTTTGACAGAGAGAACGACATCACCCCCGTGCTGGACCACACCTTCTGCGTGGAGCATAACGCTTTCGGGCGGATTCTTCAGCACGAATTGAAACCCAACGGCAGAAACGTGCCGGTCACGGAGGAGAACAAGAAGGAATATGTCCGGTAATGCCCAGGGCAAGCCTTGGTGGTGGCCTGGTGGGGGGGCGGGTGGGAGGCAGGTGCCTGGAGCCATCCTGGGCACAGCTGGGTTCATGTCAGGGGTGACATAGCTTCTTGATGCTTGAGGCTCTCCTGTGTTTGACTGCACTCGTGACCAGTGTCATGTGAAAGAGGCGACTTCCAGGAGCTCTCAGCTGGGGATTCTGCTAGGAGGGACCCTGATGTGGTTGGAGCTGGACTGTCAAAGGGACAGAACCCAAACCCGGGAGGATTTCCATGTGACTGTCCAACTCTGGGTACAAAGGTGGTGAGCCCAGGAGAAAAGCAGTGGGCTGGAGGCTCCGCGTGGGGAGCCTCAAGGGAGGCCACTCCAGCCCGGCTCCCGCCTCTTCCTCAAGGCAGATCCACACAGGAACCAGTCACTTGCCTTGGAAGTTCCGAAACATGGGGCTCGTGTGGTCACACTGCTGCCGGTTTCTCACACTGACCCTGATTTTACTGCCAAATGCACTTTTCAATGATGGCAGTTACAAATATCTTTGACGGTGAGCAAGGCACCGTGGGGAACCAGGCTGCCTGCACAGTCCCAGCTCACCACACTGTCCCCTGAGCCTGTCGCTGACCTCCATGGGCCTTCTCCTGGCCCGTCTGCAGCTGCTCCTGACACGTGGGCTCCTCTTCCAGGTTGTACGTGAACTGGAGGTTCATGAGAGGGATCGAGGCCCAGTTCTTGGCGCTCCAGAAGGGCTTTAATGAACTCATCCCTCAGCACTTACTCAAGCCCTTTGACCAGAAGGAACTAGAGGTATGTGCGCGCCATGCTGCCGCCCAGCCCACAGGCACCAGGTAGTCATCTGTCGGAGAGCCCAGCTGTGAATGAGGCCTCTGTGATGGTGACAGCGAGGTGTCCCCTTGGCAGCAGTGAGCCTGAATGGTTCTGGGGGAGTCGTTCAAGGTGCTTGTGATTTCTGAATCTCTGGCATGGAGACTCCACAGCCCCTCTGGTGTGGCCCCTATTTTGTGCCAATCCTCCCACAGGAGTAGCGTCTCATTTTTTATTCTGGCTGATCACAGACTAAGCACAGTGTTACCATCTTCTCTGCTCACACTTTGTGGACTTGACAGAGATTCATTCATCCCTTATCCATCTCTGCCTGGTGCCAAGGGACCCAAGCCTTCCAGATTGTCCTTTGTCTTTCTGCCCCCCGTGAGAAGCTGAGAGCTTGTGAGGCAAGAGCGCCTTTGGGTGGCACAGGAGTGCTGCGGTGGGCTTGGTCAGCAAGTGAGGAGACAGCCCTTCCCTTTACCTGTGCCACGTGCCAAGTTCCCATCCCTTCAGACTGCACCCTGGCGTCTCCACACACGTTCTTGAGAGACACCACAGTGGGGCCTTGTTTTACAGTTAGCTCCGTGGCGTGTTTCCAGAATGTTCTAGATGCTCACTCCTCCCCACCCCAGAGCAACACCACCAGCCGGGCTGTAATCAGGTCACACTGGTAGCTGTGTGCCTTTGTCCTCAGGCTGGAAGCCAGCAGGAGGTGGCTCCACGTATCAGGCCTGTCAGCGCAGCTTTCTTCTGTCCAGACATCTGTCTGGTGCATTTGGTCAGAGCTGCTTGGTGGCTTTGGAGATCAAGTTTTTAACTCCTTTCTTGTATTGAGAGCCAAGGAGGCATGTCATGGTTGGGGCTTATACGTTTTGGAAATGACACCTCAAAATGCTTTCCCAGTTGATAATAGGAGGCCTGGATAAGATCGACCTGAATGACTGGAAGTCCAACACGCGGCTGAAGCACTGTGTGGCCGACAGCAACATCGTCCGCTGGTTCTGGCAGGCAGTGGAGACCTTCGATGAGGAGAGGAGGGCCAGGCTGCTGCAGTTCGTGACTGGCTCCACGCGAGTCCCTCTCCAGGGCTTCAAGGCTCTGCAAGGTGACTGACGGGGAGGCAGGGCCATTGCCATGAGGTGTCTTTTGAAATGTCACCTGCTAGAGAACCCCGTGGCCAACATTCAGAGCCATGGAGGTGCACAGTTGGCACATGTAGGTCCCCATGGAGCCTTGGCAAGGCCCAGTTCCCACAGCCTCACTGTGGTCAAAAGCCAAGAGGGCCCCAGGTGGGCACCTATGAAGAGCATTGCTGGGAGCCACCCATAGCCTCTAGCCCCACACTTGAGACTGCAACTGACCCTTGTTTAGCCACAAGGCACATTGAGGGAAGATGGTGTCATGCTCACTCTAAGCCACTGAGGTGGCCCTTCCTATGGAACTCCTGCAGGGAGTTCCATAGGAAGGGTCCCTGGCTATTGGCCTTGGGCATGTGGCCCAGTGTGTCATCTCACACCCAGGGTTTGGAAGGTATGTGGCAGATCTGGAAAAAGCAGGTGGAGGATGTGAACATACCGAGCTTAGCAGTTGAACTTCAGTGTGGATAGGCATTTGGATTTGTTGCAAGTACAGAATCTTCACTCTGACTTTTAAGAACCTTTGAGTGAAAGGAGGGTCGTCCAGGGTCCCTCAACTCAGGGCATAAGGCACTTGTCTTCTCCACAGTGTTGTCTTCATGTAGGATGGTTGCAGGGGGCCCTGCAGGAGTGAAGGGGGTTCAAGACTATCCAAGCACCTGGGGCCCTCAGCTTCTGCAGGTTGGGATCCCTGAGTTGGCCTGAATTTATAGCAGCAGCTGTGAACAATGATGGCCAGCTTGATGTCACTGGGAGCTGAGTCTGAAAAGATTCGAGCATGGATGAGCCCAGTGGTTGGCAGCTCTGCTACTAGCAAAGGGTGGGTGCAGACAGATCCCAGCCCAGACACCCTTGGAGCTGCTCATGACCAGGGGATTCTGAGCCTCTGGGTCCTATCCCTGGGTTGTTCTGAAATGTCTTCTTTCTGTCATTCAATGGCCACTGCAGGCATCTCCTAAAACTGGCCAGGGGCTTACGTTGCTAGGTGACCATCACAACCCTCCGGCAGGACAGCCTGCCTGGGTACTGGGGCTGATGTGTGTGGGAGCCGCCACCGGGCAGCTCCAGGGCTTTGCCTGCGAAGTGCATTAACTAGAGTGTCGTTCTGTAAGGTTCTACAGGCGCGGCAGGGCCCCGGCTGTTCACCATCCACCTGATCGATGCAAACACGGACAACTTGCCCAAGGCCCACACTTGGTAAGAACCTACCATGGAGCTGGGTGTCCCAGCAGCTGGCTCCAGAGGCTGTGCCCTTCACCCTGTGCTCAGCCATCTGTCACTCACAGGATTCTGTGACTCTTTTCTGCAGAGCTCAGGTGGGGCTGGCAGCAGCACTTGTGTCCAGTGGGACAGCACTTTGGAGGGGGCCTTGTGCAAGGCTATCAGAAGGCTATTCTGACATGTAACTAGTGGACACTGGTATTTTGTCATGTAGGTGGCTCCTGCTTCTCAGGCTCGAGTGGCCTTCTTTGCTGGGTCTTTTTTTTTTTTTTTTCTTCTCTGTGGATTGAACTCAGGGATGCTTAACCACTGAGCCACACCCCCAGCCCTTTTAATACTTTATTTAGAGACAGGGTCTCACTGAGTTGCTTAGGGCCTCACTAAGTTGCTGAGGCTGGCTTTGAACTCACAATCCTCCTGCCTCAGCCTCCCAAGCTGCTGGCATTACAGGTGAAACAGTTTTTACTTTGGATTTATTGCTCTTCACTTCGCCTGACATTTCTGGGTCTCTACTGTCCTTCTTGTAACTTTGCCTGTGACCAGTATCTCTTGTCTATTGAAAAATGTTTTCTCCCTACATTTTAAGCTTAAAAATTAATATTCATGGTAGATCGTTCCATTGTGTTTTAAAAGTCCATTTCATGCATACACTTTGTCTCAGAACCACTTACCTCTCCTTCAAGTTCCAAACGGTCCAAGAGTGTTACGTGATGTGCTAGAATGTTCCTGATTTGGAACCCAGTAGCGTGGGTTCAAATGCTGACCATGATACCTTTTAAAGATGGGCTATGAGGCAAACTGCTTGATATCTTTACCTGGTTTTCCACCCCTGTAGATGGGCTAATGCAGCTCTCCTGAGACTGTTGTGGGACAGGAAGGCCCTGCTTGACCATGGCTGCAGCATCTATCTGGGCAGGAATGCGCCATGTTGGCACATGGTGCTGCTCTCCGGCTCACAGCGCTCCTGGCCTCGAACATTTTAGCACTGGTATAAAACAGACATAAAAAATGTCTTCTGATATTAATACTTTAGAACAAAGGAGGCCATACCACTCAACCCAACTCCTTGACAAAACTGCTTCAGCTGCTCGGTCCCAGTGACTCACAGCCACTGTGTTCCCCGGGGGGGGGACGGTTCTGTTTCTGTTTTGCGTCAATAGCTTCCTAAAGGATGTCTTCTTCTTTGCATAAATACTGGAAATTAATTTCCCATGGAAATATTGAGTCAGAAGTTTAATATTCACCTCATCTTTCAGGGATTTCACATTTTACTAGCTTTAAAATATAGTTTGTTTTACAGGGAAATTTCCAGACTGCTTTGTTTTGGTCTCAGAGCAAATCCCAGAGGAACAGATAGACATGCGATAAATTGTTAGGGATGACATGACTAATGACCAGTCTAGGTTATGGGAGTCGGCAAAAGGGTAATTCATGGTGTGGAGAAATAATATCTTCCCAAAGACAAAAAACAAGTTATGAGCTTTGTCGTAATATAAGCAATAAGGTAATAATTTGGTTATGTTTTGGTTTTAAAGGTCTTGAGATTTATTTTGCTGTGAGTTCATTGGAAAATTTTTGTGTTGGAGCAGAAAAGCACCAGGGGGAGGTGGAGACCTTGCTAGTGCCCCCCACGCCCCGCCACCTCCCACATACCTAGCCTTGTCTCCTGCCTATCCTTGACCTTGAAGGTGGTCCCAGGGCTGTGCTGTCCCAGCAGTGACTCTGCCTCCTTTGTCCTTTTCCAGCTTTAACCGAATCGATATCCCACCGTATGAGTCTTATGAAAAACTCTACGAGAAACTGCTGACCGCGGTGGAGGAGACCTGTGGGTTTGCTGTGGAGTGAAGAGCATCCCGAGGCAGCAGAGTCTCGCTCATGACCACCAGACCAAAAGCATATGGCTTCCGTGTGCCTCCTGCAAGGCTGGCTGAGGCCTGGAGTCCTGGACAACCTGAGGGAAAAGGCTTGTCCCCCTCCTTCTTGTTGGCAGAGGGAGGGGGCAGGGGACTTTCGTAGGTGGCTCTCACCATATATTCCTCCTTTATTATCGTCCTCCCCCCCCATCACCCATCCAATAAAACAGCCAGGTTTTGCCCGTGCCTCGGTGACACATGGCGAAAAGGCTCATGGCCCTGTGCTCTTTACAAGAGCACGGACCCCAGCCAGGGGCTGGGCTGGGTCCATGGAGGGTCTGCCTGGTAGTGCTACCAGCTTGTCCCTCTCATGCAGCCTCCAGGCCCCTTTCAAGTTCAGCAGTTGCCGGATACCCAACCAGAGCTCAGATCCCAAATTTCACATCCCAGCGGCCTGTTCTGCGTAGCAGATGATTTCCTACCTGAAAAATAACTGTACAGTGTATGCTTCTAGGGAGTCTGTCATGGCAGGAAACTTGAATCGTTATGTGTTTTCCTTTTGAAAGTAAAGGAATCCGAGCAGTTTTCACTGAGGCCCAGGGTTTTATTCAGGGTATCCTGGCTGAAAAGTCTGTTTTGCACAGAGAAAAAAACTGTTTTTCTTTTCAAGAGTCCCTTTTGCTGCATCCTCTATCCTGTCTGAAATTCTTTCTGGTGAAAACCCCTCATAACAGAGCTTAGTAAAGAACAGACCAAAATCAGCCTCAGATCCAGCCGCTGGGTCCAGAGCTGACTCCGTCCTGTGCCTGGTTGTGCGTGGAGAGGCGTCACTGTGTCTCCTGAAATGTTAACAGACTTTCATGTGGTAATTGCTAAGAGCTAAACTAACAAAAGAATCCTGTTACCAGAGCTGCTGGCCCGGTGCAGACTAGCTGAAAATGGAGAGGGAACGGTGGCCTTGCTGGACCAGGGCCTCAGAGTTAGTGCCGTGCTGGGAGGAGGGCGTGGGTGTGCGCCTGTTCCGGCAGGTGGGTGCAACTCCACGCAAACTGGTTGGCCTTTTCCTCCGTGGCCGTGGTGACACTAGCAATTGCACTTGATTCTCCTGCCCACGTGTCTCGACGTGATGACAAGGCCCAAGCCAGCCCAGACTCGAGGCTTCCAACACCATTTCCTATTTGCACAAAAGTTCTAGCAGAGTTTGATTTCAGCACAGTGGCCTCATTTCAGATGGCTCGGCTTCTGTGGAAGACCGCAGCAGCAGCCCATTTTCCTATGTGTCTCTGTGGCTATTGCTCTGGTTTGGGGGCGGGCGGGGGCAAGTACAGGGTAATTCATTAGCAAGACATTTCACTGCTGTTGAAATGGGAGTTCAGCGCTGGGCTCCAGCTGTGGTCTGCGGTGGAGCAGGTTGGAGCTCGTGGGCACTCACTGTTCTGTTTCTGTTCCCCTTGGACTGGTGGGTGTGGAGGAAGGTGTAGCCCCCCATAGCCCGCCCTGATTCCTTTGCTCATCCTGGAAGCAGCCTGGTTCCATGTGGGGAACATGTGGACTTCTTAGGTCACAGACCCGTCCATCCCAAGAGGTTTTCCCAGTTCCGCAGCCGCACTTTGGCCTCCTGAGGTTCTGGGACAGAAAGGACACCTGGTGGGATTCTCTGCAGAAGGGAAGTTGAATCCGTGCAAACGTCCAGGCCAACTTGTGGCCTTAGTCTTTCAATTTTCTGCCTTGCCCCAGTAGGGCTCACCCTGTGTCTCATTCACCCCAATGCTTTTGAGGGCATTTTAGAAACTGGTTCCAAGATGACGCCACCCCGTCTTCCCTTTCAGTATTCCTCTGAACAGGGAAGTGAAACAACAGGCCCCCCCAGAAAGACCTGATCTGTGACCTGAGCCCAGATTCTGGGAGGTGGACAGATGTGCAGAGTTCAAGGGACACTCCAGAGGGAAGCAGGGTCTGTGGTGTGAGTACATGCAGCAGGAACTTGGCCTTCGAACTACCTTCTTGCTGTTAGGAAGAGCAGGGGTGATCCGTAGATACTGCAGCCCTGTGCCATTCAAGTTGGTGTCCCTGTGGCCACCATCCAGAGCTGCCCGAGTTCCTGTCCCCTGGGGCTTCTGTTTGGCTTTGCCACTTGCACGTGTGTGGGGGTTTGTCTCAGCCCTTGGCGCTATCATCAGCCGCGTCAGACCTCCCAGAGCTCTGCTCTGTCCAAGCCTGTTGGTGGCATTTGCCCTTCTAGAATCGGAACTGTCTACCATGGCCTGGTCCTCTGAACCACCCCAAAGGACAGTGTGACAAGCTCCTGGTTGCCCCACTTAGGGTCTGTGTGAAGCCCTTGTATGTGTGACTCGTCTGTCATCCCTCCCGGTAGTCCCAGGCGACCCACCTTTCCCCCCTTGCCTCTCACCTCCTTGCCCAGACGCTTCAGGGGCCCAACTTTCCAGGCTCGCCCTCACCAGCGGCCGTCAGCCGACACTCAGGGATGTAGCGAACCACCACTCTGCAGCGCTGTGGGCAGGGGAGCAGGCAGCCGTGCGCAGCCTGAGGCGACAGGGCGACAGCAGGGCGCCCTCTTGATTTCTGAAAGGAAAATCTGCCACTAGATCGATTTTGACCCCTAAGCTGGCTCAGCTGCATGGGCCAAATTCAGGTGAGGTGGCCTCAACTCTGAGACGTCAGGAATGGCCTTCTGCAGAGAACACGCCCCGGCCCAGCCACCTGCAGCAGGTGTGTGCCACATGGCAGCCTTCCCGAACATAGTATGGATTTTTAAAATTTGTTTATTTTTGTTTCTGAACCACTTTATAATGTATTTTTAATTTATTTTGTAATGTCTTGTTTTTAAGTATTGCTGCTATCCTTGTTACTCTTCCCACTGTTTTTATTGCTGATTTATTTTGTGAAAGTTGTACACTAATGTTCTGTTTTATGTCAAAATCAAAAGTATTTAAAAGAAATACTAGTTCTATTTAATGTGGGTATGGAACCAGCTGGAAGCAAACAGCGATCACACAGCAGGCTGGCCCCGGGAGGTTCATTTTGTTACATATGCAATAAACTCACGACTTTACAGTTCTGGTGTCTGCTATTTTGATGTGGAAATGAGATTCCAATTTCCTTACAGCCTCACGAGGAAGGAGGTCAATGGCTGGAAACAGCGGTAAGGACACAACTTAGGACAAGCTAATGAAATGGGCCAGGGGGTTCTGCGAGCTCCTCCTGGGCTCGAGGGCAGTTGGCAGCTGCTGACCGCCCACACTGGTCGTATTTGTTTTTTCTTTCTCACATTTCTTTATTGTGTTAAAATAGATATGAGACTGTGTCACTATGTCACTTCAACACTGGTTAGAATCCTCCTGTTTCCCTGGAGGGTGCTGGTGTATACTCTGGTCCTGCCTTTTGGCCATTTCGAATAGTCTTTTGTGAACATACTTGTTGGGAGCCTGCTGCAAGCACCCCCTGCAGTGGCCCTGCATTCCACAGCAGCTGCAACCTTGCCAGTACTTACCTTCTTTTAGCCTTTCTTTTGCCAACGGCTATCCCGGCAGGTGTGAAGTACTAGCTTGCTGTGGTTGATTGGCATTTCCCCAGTGATGTGGAACATGTTGTCATTGCTTATTGACAATTTGTATATTTTCTTTGGAGAAATATCTTCTCAAGCTTTTGCCCCTTGTTTATCCTTTGCCCACTGTTGGATCAGGTCATTTTGGTTGTTGCGTTGTCAGAACTCTTTACATATTCTGGATAGTAACTGCTGATTATGATTTGCAAATATTTTCTCTCATTCCAGAGGTGGCCTTTTCACTCTTTCCATATTGTCCTTTGATGCATGAAAGTTCTTAATTTCGGTTAACCCATTTAATTTGTTTGCATGTGATTCTGGTTTCAGACCCAAGAAATTATTGCCAAATCCAGTTTGGCATCATCATGTGACACAGCAGTTCCACTCCCAGGTATGCCTGCGAAAGAACTGACAGCAAGGATTCCAATAGAGATGTGTTCATGAAAAGCTTTATTCAAAACAGCCAAAAGGCAGGACCAACCAATGTATTTATTAGTCGGCCTCCCCCAGGAAAACTGGAGGAGTTTTAACCAGTGGTTGAAGATTTTTCTCAGAGTTTTCTTCTAAGTTTTATAGTTTGTGCTTAAGCTTAGGTCTTTAATCCATTTAAATTTTTGTATGTGGGGCCAGGTAAGGATTCAACTTCATGGTTTTGCATGTGGATGTCTAGTTTTCCTTGTACCATACACTGAAAGTTTCAGACTCCCCAGCTAGTGGTCAGGGTAGCACATTGAAAACTAATAGACCAGAAATGGATCCTGGTGTCCACGGTCAATTTTGTGGCATTGGTCTGTTATGTCTTTCTCTATGCCACTACTATATACTGTTTTAATTACTATAGCTCTGCAGTACTTCTCAGAGTCAAAAAGTGTGAGTCCTCCAAGTTAGTAATTTTCAAGATCCTTTTGGCTATTTGAGGCCCCTTGAATTTCTATATGAATTCAAGAATGGATTTTCTGTGAAAAAGGCTGTTGGAATTGTAATGGGATGGCATTGACACTGTGGATCATCTTCATCATGTTAAGTCCTTGAACCCATGAACATGAGGGGTTTTTCCATTTGCTTAGGGTTTATTTTCTTTCCATGATGTTCTGCTGTTTTCAGCACAAGTGGCAAGGTTCTCACCTCCTTGGTTACCTGGACTCCTAGGAATTCTTCTAGATGCGATTATAATCCTGTTTGGAGCATTCATTGCTGCTGTATGGAAACACTGGTGTGTTCTGTGCTGGCCAATCCTGTAACTTGCTGAATCTATTAGTTCTACTGGCTTCTTATGGATTCCTTGGGGTTTTCTTTGTAAAGGATCTTGTCACTCATAAACTGGTCCTTCTGACTTGGATGCCTTGACTTCTTTCTCTTACTTGACAGACCTGCTCACACTTTCCAGGGCAACGTAGAGGAGTGGTGGGGGAGGGGCGCCTTCATCTTGCTCACTGTTGAATGTCTGCATCGATTAAGGCACGTTTCATTTCCCCTATCCTTTTAGATAATGTGTGACAGCAATTGATTTTTTTATACGGAGCCACCCTTCCATTCCTAGGTAAATTCCACCTAGTTGTCGTAAGTAATTCTTTTTAATATGCTTTTGGGCTCCCTTTGTTAACACAGTGTTGAGAATTCTTCCATTTCTCTTCATAGGGATATTGGTCTGTACTTTCTTCATGTCTTTGGCTCTGGGGTCAGAGTCATGCTGGCTTCATGAAATAATTTGGGAGGTATTCTCTCCTCCTCAGTTCTTTGGAAAGGTTTGAGAATTGGTGTCAACTCTTTAATGTTTGATAGAATTCCCCAGTGAAGCCATCTGGTCCTGGGCTTTTCTTTGGGTCAGTAATAAAAAAATCTCCCATCACTCCTTTTCCATCAGGTTTTGTCTGGTGCCGTCTTGGTCTAGGTGAGCCATTTGTTGGCATGTAGTTGGTTCACAGTACCCTCAGCTTTGTTTCTGTAAAATTGGAAATAATGTCTTTTTTAATTTTAACTGATTTGTTTCTTATCTTCATCATCAAGCTAAACCTTTTCCAATCTTGTTGATCTTCTCAAAGAATTACTCTGGACTCCGCGGACTGCCGCAGTCTGGCTGGGAACGAATAACCGAGTCGCCACAAAGCCTTGTAGGTTCAAACAGCAACTACTTTATTTCAACTCTCACTGGCACTGCATGCGCGCTTTTCCACCAACGCCACCCACGAGGCCCTTCCAGAAACCCTCCACACCGGAAATCCCTCCTCCAGCACTTCCCCAACCAATGGAAACTCTCCGGGAATCCCCGCGAGAACTCCAAAGTAGCAGGCGCCCCATTGCCCGCCAGTAAAGTAGCAAGAGCCGTCCCATTGCCCACCAGTAAAGGTCAAATATACAATACAATCAATCCAGCATCACAGCAATTATATATAGCTTAACTCAAATCATCATCTCAATGGTTCGCTGGTGTCACCTTTCAAACATTCCCTCTGGCAAATGCCAGGCGTCGTTCTGACCAGCCTTGGCTCTCAACAGTTTTCTACTTTCCTGCTCACACCCACCCGCACTCTGCTAGCTTTGGGTCTAGTTTTTTCCTGTTTTTTTGAGGTGTAAAGGAGGCTCCTCACTTGAGACCTTTCTCCTTTGCTGATATACACATTTCGGCCGCGGTTGCCTTCTCCCCACTGCCGTGGCTGCACCCGTGCATTCTGGTGGGTTCTGTCTTCGTTTTCAGTTGTCTTCAGGTGATTTATTCTTTGGCTCTTTGATTCATTTTTATATATTTCTGCATTTCCCAGTTTCCTTCTTAATGATTTCTAGATTTATTCCCTTGTCATCGGAATTGAATGCTTCATATGATCTCAGTCTTCTAAAACTCAGTGAGAGTTGTCTTATGGTCTTTTCTGGAGAACCTTCCATGTATACTAGAGAAGGTGGTGTATTTTGCTGCTGTTGGTGGGGTGTTGTGTATGTTAGTCCAGTGGGTCTGTGGAGGTGCTCAAGACCTGCATTTCTATACTGACTTTATCTGTCTAGTTGTTTCAGTCATCATTGGAAGTGGGTAAGAAGCCTCCTACTGTTGTACAGCTCTATTATTTCACACTTTAATTCTTCAGGGTTTGCTCTAGGTCCCTTTGGGTTTGCCTTGTTGGAATTCATTGAGCTTCTTTTGCATATCCATTGCTTTTGTCAAATTTGGGGAGTTTTCTCCCATTATTTCTTCAAGTGAGCACTCTGCTCCTTCCTCTCTGTTCTCTTTCTGGAATTTCCATAATGCCAAATTGGTCTTCTTGGACGGCACCTTGGGTTCTTTTACTTCTCTTTTTATTTTTTGCTCCTTCAGTCTCATGATTTCAAATGAATTTCTCAAAGTTTACTGATTCTTTTACATATATAAACCTGCTTTTCAACGACTATATTGAACTTTTGAATTGTTACTGTATTTTTTCAGCTCCAGAATTTGCTTGTTTCTGTTTAAGAATTGCTGTTTCTTTGTTGAAATTTTTTCATACATCACTGTCCTGATTCTGTAGTTCTTTGTGGTCTCCTTTACCTCTCTGAGCATATTTAAGATCATTTAAGTCTTTTCTAACAAGTCTGATGGTTTTGTTTTTCTCAGGAATATTTCTGGAGATAAATTTTGTCCCTTTGAATGAGCCATGTTTTTCCCATTTATTGGGATTCCTTGAGATCTAGTGTTTGGAAAATTAGGCACCTGAAAAAACAGTCATGTCTTAAGTCTGAAGAGAGGTGTGGAAACCTTCACTCATTAGCAGGGGGTGTTCTGACAGGTGGTATCGCCAAGGTGATGGCCTAGTCTAGGGTCCTTTCTGAACACATGCTCTGCTTTGGGCCTCTGTGTCAGCACCCTCTTTCGCTGGTACCCGTATCCATAGCTGCTTTTAAACATCTTAATTTCTCACCTGCACTTCTTGAGGTCCTTTGCCCAGTCTCCTGTCCCAGGTACCCAAGCTCTGTAGTCCCCTGGCAGCTCTTAGGTGGTGGCGCCTGCCACTGTCCTCCAAGGCATTGCCAGCCTGCAGTCTGAACCATGCCATGTTTCCTGGCTAAGGTAAGTCAGGAAACAGAAACCAGCCCCTTGGGAAGCCCACAGAGAAGCTGAGACATTGCAAGTAAGTTCTGTTCCCTTCCTTCCTTGTGGTGCAAGAGAGGAAGCTAGGAATTGGGTCAATAAAAATGCTACAAAGTTTCCGTTTTGACTGTGGCTGGGGTGCTCACCTCCCTGTGGCAGGCCTTGACTTTCCAGAGCTCCTAGGAAGGCGTTTCCATAGGGGAATGAAGGCCTTGAGTTTTCCATCTGCCATCTCCAGTCTCTTGACTGGAAAAGTTTAATCTACTTCAGTAATTACGGGTAGGGGCAACTGGAGATGGGTGCGGGTTGTTTCTCTCCATCATTTTTTTGATCTAGTTCATTTTGTATAGTGACATGGAGATGATATTACACCTAGCATGCTAACATGACGCACTCAAATCTGAATTATACCAGCTTAACTTCAATAGCACACAAAACCTCTGCTCCTAGCATCTCCCC